CAGCTTAAATTTCTTCTTCTAACATTTTACAGTTTTAACTGCCCCAAAATTTTATTGCGTATTTTCACAGATGAGACATTGCTCTTTAAGTGGAAGGTACTTTTGGGATCTCAAGTGATGTACTTTTGGCGATGTTTTCCTTTAAAGTTCGCCTTTTTTATGGCGCTTCATTAGTAGTCCGAAAGAGAAGAAATTTAAAATTCTGTCAAAAAAATCATTTGATAGTCAAATTGCCAAAACAGATTTATATCGCTTTCTTTGTATGGAAAATTGTTAAAAATGTGCCCTAAAATGGCCGCTGAAAGCCCTCTCAGAAAGGCAAAACCAAGATGGTGGCCCCAGCGCTAAAATACGAATCGAATTGAACTGAAAATTATACTTTTTGAATCACTTATCTAGACCATTCATCTGAGAAAGTTTGAGGAATTCGAATTTTTCTGGTCCGAATGACCATAGTTGAAATTTAGAGAAGGCGCCTCTTAAAAACGAGCAGTTACAAGAGCCTTCCTCCAAAGGTTTTTCTCTGGGTTCTCCGGTTTTCCTCCCTCCACAAAAACCAAAATCTCCAAATTCCAATTCGACCAGGATAGAGGACCCCTCAAGAAAGCCAGCTGAGGGTGATGTGGCTTCTCCTCTTAACATTCTAATTTATATAATTGATTTATTTATTTATTNTCTTATTTCGTAGAATTTGTTCGCGATTGTCAGTTTTTCGGAGGTTATGAGCCCATACGATATATCTAGAGCGATTTAATGAATGGGCGAAGTTCTTTCATTAAAAACAGCAAAATTCATAATTCATAATTCAAACTTTCATAAAAGCATGCCTGTCAAAATCGATTGGCATAGAATCATTAAGTCCCTTGACCAATCATATGTCATAAAAATGGCACCCAGTTTCCTGCATCACAACTTTTAACCCGAACTCGATTGTTTCAACGCTGAACCTTCTCCAGACTTTTGCAGAGCATATGGAGACCTGAACACTCACTAATTACATTTTTAGGTCAAGATCACTCCATAACATTTTTGGGAAGTGACAGCGCACCATAGCCATTGTACTTTCATGTAAACATAGTGCTGATTGAGAGAAAAATATATTGAAGAACTCTCATACATTTTTAGTCAATCCTAAAATAACACTCAATAATATTTATTGATAATTGTAAATGAGTTACGCTGTTTTGCCATTAGCGACTGCTGAACACAAATTTAAAAACGAGCAGTTACAAGAGCCTTGCTCCAAAGGTTTTTCTCTGGGTTCTCCGGTTTTCCTCCCTCCACAATAACCAAAATCTCCAAATTCCAATTCGACCAGGATAGAGGACCCCTCAAGAAAGCCAGCTGAGGGTGATGTGGCTTCTCCTCTTAACATTCTAATTTATATAATTGATTTATTTATTTATTACTTTGCCTCCTTTGCACAAATGGCCATTGCAGCAGCTGATGTCAAATTTGGTGATCTTCACAGCGGGATTATCAGACTTGCGCAAGTCAGATGAATCAATATTACGCTGGGATGAAACAGTGCAATGTTTGGCGTGGAACGACACTGATACGTCGTAACTTTTTCCCTCTACCACAATTTTGCCACATCAGTCTGCAGCTTACACGCACGTCACCTTTTTTTTCTACGGTTCACTATTCGGAAATTCAACAATTTCCGGATTTCTTGAAATTTTTCCACGAAATTTCCGTAACATTTGTCTCCGTTTCGAAATTTTCAGAATATTTGGTTGAATGGAAAGCGCTCTGCATGCACTGATCGGAAAATGGAATAACAAAATTGTCAGCTCACATTATGAAATGGGGCAAGCACAAAAATTTGGTTCGTGTACAATTTCGTGTTATTGATGGAGTTTATTAGTATAAGCATTATGTTCTACATTTGGAAGTAAAAGGCAGGTGACAGGAACTGAGGTGTGCATATGTAATGAATGATGTAGCCTGTCTAGATCTGTTTGCATATGAATTATGTATTTCTATAAACCACTGGATGTAACTTCTCAAATCAATAA